TTTCCCGCTGGCAGTCGCTCTGCTGCCTAGACTGTTTTTAATAAAATTGTCTTAACTGTCTTATTTCAGGGTTTTGATTAAAGCCTTTTTAAAGGACAGCCCCCTTGTGCCAGTGCCCCTCGTGGCCCTCTTAGGAGGGCCACGCACCTTACTAAACCTAACCCTCTAACCCCCTAACCCTAACCCTCTTAGGAGGGCCACGCACCTTACTAAACCTAACCCTAACCCTAACCCTCCCTAACTCTAACCCCCTAACCCTAACCCCCCTGACCCTAACCCTGAGCCCAACCCTACTACCTACTACTGCACCCCCCATCAGTTAACTTCACACATACACCACACCTGCGATCTTTTTTTAATGAATCTGTAAACAGAATTACTCTCCATCATGTTAATCTGACAGAAACATTTGAAAACACTGGTTTATGAAACAAAAAGAAAACATCTTAAAACATATTCTACACATTATAGTAAACTTATTTCATTACCACAGTAAAGCTAAACTGAGTCCGTTGTCACCATCTGATTATTGGTCACCTCATTCCTGTTATCTTTCAACTGATTTATCACTTTTATTCTCACTTCACCTAAAAAATGACGTACAAATGAATAATCAATGTTTTATTTATTTTATTGACATCGTCTCCATAACTCAAGGTTTAAAGAGTACTCGCCAACAAAAATAATTATCTTCAAACACAACATTAAAGATGAGCCGCTGTCAGTCATGTAGATAATGTTTGTTTTGTCTCTTTTTGCACATTTTTACTGAGTCTCTTCTCACACTTTAATATTCACAATAATTATAAAAATACTATTTTTGATATCATGAATAAAAATGATTGCAAACTAAGAACTTGTTTCATCAGTTTCCTGAATAGAGGCTGCAGATTTCATGTTGTATTGAATTGAAGTACAAATAATAAAATATTACAATAAATCAGCTGCTGAGACGCTGAGCTCTCCTCCTCCCACCAGAGCCCTGTAGTGGACCGGTCTCTGCTGGAGGATCTGGGTCTGTCCACGGTGGACCGGTCTCTGCTGGAGTCTGAGCTGAAGGAGTTTCTGGTGAACCTGCATGAGTTGATCTGATTTCAACAGAATCCGACCCGGTGGCTCCGATGATGAGCACTTAGAACTATATAGAAATAGACTATGTTCTCTCTGATGGTCTTGTGTACTGATGGAGGTCATATAGAGGATCAGGACTACACAGACTGGTTTAGGACAACTTACAAGTTCCTCACACTAACTGAACCTCGATGATTCTTGTCATATCTTGACAGAGGGCACCTTGGGGCTTTGTCCACACGTATACAGGTATTTTGACAATAGCTGTGTCTCAATTCTGGGGCTGCATCCTTCGGAGGCTGCATTCGTAGACCGGTTGCGTCACAGCGCTGCAACTAGGCCGTCCCAATTCACGTTTGTTGAAGACTCCTTCAAATGCAGCCGACGAATGCAGCCTTCTGGTCCCAGATTCGGAGGACACATCTGATGGATCCTTCGCGGCCCAGCATATCCCGAGATGCATTGCTTTCCGATGAAAATTTTATTTGAACCAACATGGCGGCGAGTGACGCGGGAGCTGGAGAAGCGGCAGCTTTCACTTTTAATGTAAGTATTGGGTTTCAACTCACTCAAATGTCACCGATACTAATCTTAAAGCAAAATAAGAGATCTTATAACATCACGTGTGCTCAAGTGATCCGTTAAGTTATGTGACATTGGTAACTGACAAGCTAACTGACGTTAGCCGCTGCGCTATTACCGGCAGCTCGGCTGCCTGCATCCAACCGTAGTAAGCCTTGTAAAGTAACTTTTAATAACTTCACTTTCAAACCTCAGAGGTTGAATAATATCTTACTGAGATTGTGACGATTTTACAGATGATTTATACTTTATATCATGTACATAAACGGACCAACATGAGCTCAGGTAGACAGGTTATCAACCTGAAATATCACTTTAAGTCCGGTAACGTTTCAAACGTTAAGATTAATTACACGAATACACTGAATTTGAGTATTTTGCTGATTCTGTTCTTGTTTTGTTACAGAGAGCCAGGAGCTGAGGGGAGAACGATGGACAAACATTCAGCAACCACAGCTTTAAATTAAGACATTAGTCCATTTGTTATTTTCTCCATTTGACGATCCTGTACTTAAGGTTACAGTTACATTAGCTCTCATCCTGTACAAAGCCTTCACTAATAAGACAACCAGTAGATCCTTCTCATGTGTTATTGTTGCTGTCACAGAGATGACAGTTGTGATGTCACCTTTTTCTATTATTTATTTAAATTGAAATAAGACATCCATGTAAATGATTTCTGTGTGAATTTGTGTATATTCTGCTGTGTAAATTATAAAAAAAGTACGTGTTACTTCAGTTAATAAACGTGTTTGCTGACATTTGTTTTGCTGCTGTTGATGTTAACTGTCTTGATTAATTTCCTCTGCCTTATATGAGATATATATATATATATATATATATATATATATATATATATATATAGTTATTGATAAATACATTGTTTTAATTACAAGACCTATAACTGATTGAAAATTAGTTATTTAACATAGTCACTGATTTATTTAACTGATTATTAATTTAGAAAAACAATATGAAAAAGATCTGTGAATTAATTATTGAATATATGATTAAAAAACTGATTAAACACACTAAACTAAAACCTTTCAACTATATATACTTAAAAGGTTTTAGTTTAATATATATATACAGTATATATTTACAACCCTACTGAGCAGGGATTTTAGGTGACGGGAACAGCTATTGACGCAAACAGGAAGTCCTCTTTAGCGTACGCCGTCTCATTTCGTAGACCGCACGGTCTAGCATTCGCGGTCCACAAAGGTCGCGGCCCACGTAGACCGCGAAGGCTGGGTCCTCCGAAGGATGCAGACCCTGAATTGAGATACAGCTAATGTCTATGTTCCTCTAAGGTGTGACCTTTACATGCAAACACAGATTGCTTGAAACCCTGATTCCTGTTGGCATAGCAACAGAGGATTTGTGATGCTATAAAACCATCCCCATAAATTATGTCGCCCCATTTTTGCTTCAGCATTTACAATAAATATCAACACCGATGACCCTAAGCAGCAACTCAACCTCACTGTCCATCCACACATATGAATTGAATTTTGGTTTCTTCACAGCACCTCGGGCAGTAAAAGGTGTTCTATGAATAAAAGTCAAGAAATAGCTTCTATCATTTGTGTTTTTCACTTACTACCACTAAAGTAAAAATAAGCTCACTTCCTGCTCATAATCTTTGTCTCTGGTATTTGACGTATCGTTGATGAGTTACCGCTTCAGCAAAGTGGGCTCGTGCTCAAAGCCCTCAGCCAATCAGGGGACTTTGGGCTCAATATTTATTATTATCTTTCTATGCAAATTATTATTGTTTTTAAAATATTGGTGTAAATTTGATTTTGAAAATGTAGTAGGCTATCATTATGAAATTGTTTTCATATTTTGAGGATTAGCCAATTAAATCCCGTAATGTTGTAGAACTGACTTGATCAATGACTTTTTCAAAAGGAGGCCAGAAGAAAGGTCGTACTTCTCAAAGTACTTTTTATGGTTTTTTATACTTTTATACTCGTTTTTTAAAAGATCGTAGTTATCGTCTGCCTCAAGGTTTTTATATCCACAAGATGATTTGTACGTTCAATGTTTTTTGTTATCAAAGAAGCAGATATTTTGTAAAACATTTATTAATCTTTTGTTTTGATATTCAAAAAGGAGTTTCATGTTTATCTAAACTTTAGACGAGCTCCAACTGCTAGGATCACTGTCGCACTTTAATAAAATCTCGTAATCTGAATTTAAGAGTCTGATTGTGATTAAAGTCTGAATCACGTGAAGTGAAGGCAAAATCAGCAGATTAATAAATCACCAGTAAAACATTCACAAATCTGATCAACTGAAGATTTACGTCAATAACTGACTAAAACAGTTCAGACACGTCACAGGTTTGATTCCCACTCAAACCTTGGTACCCGGCAGGTCGATGTCAGGAGCTTCCTCCTCTCCTCTTTCTTGCACCGCCACCTCCTCCTCCTCAGGCAGCTGCAGGGGTTCAGAAGCCTGGAAACCTCTGAAGGAGGGGCTGATGGGAAAGCATCTGAGCCATCGAGTCCGTCTGACCAGACCCATCCCCAAAGGAAGATCATACGAGGAGGAAGAGGAGGAAGAGGACCTCCACTCAACTAAACCTCGCTCCTGCTTGGAACCTGGGGACAAACAAAGAACACCCACCAATGACAAACGTAAAGAAAGTGAGTCATTGCAGATTTTAATGTTACATATAATGGTGAGGATCATATTAGTCACTAACATATCTGATGACCCCTCCCATCCACTAGGGGTCTGTGTCCTGTTTGCTGCCTACTCTGTCTTTCAGGATGTTGATTGGCAGCTAACGAGCCCACCTGAGCCTGCTGGAAATGGCCGGCTATAAAGATGCACCACCTGAACATGGCAAGGTGCCTCACCTCCTCTCTGCTCCGACTCTCACGGCAGCTGCTTAATTTGATTGATTCTTTGGTTGTTTGATTGTTTTAGTTTAGTTTGGTTATTTGTTTGTTAAATAAATGTCTATTTATTACTTTTATCACTCGTCTTGTCTCCCTTATGTTGCAGCCTTTGAGCCAGGTTGTAACACATATAATGGTGAGTATCTAGTCTCTGATGTTCAGACTGACATCAGTCTCATATCTGTGTTATATCTGTGTTATATAGCTTAGCATAACGTATCTAACGTTTTATCTGGTTTGTTAAAAAAACTACAGAAAGTGACCTGTGTGTGTTGTATAAGTGTGTTAGTGTAGGTTACCTGGTATTGTGTTGTCGAGACAAAAAGCCAGAAAACCTCCAACAAACATCTCGGTGGACAGAAGAACCGTCAGGATCTGATCCAGCTCTGCAAGACCTGAGCACAGAAAACTGAACTGTAGGATTTACATCGACACAAATTTATACAATACATCCCGTTCTATTTTGTTAAAACTCGATTGAAATTCAGATCAAAATGCTTCAACACTGACACACAAGAAAGTGGGGGGCAGAGTGGGGGTGCTGTTGTCCTTTCGGAAGGGACACCTAATTTCAATCTTATTATTTTTCACGCTAATCTGTGATTGACCAAAACACATGAAATTAAGCTTGTTACCAATCACCAACCACAATACTTATTGACATTGGGTTGGTCCAATGATGATTTCCAAATGTCTTCTTCAATTCTCTACCACTGACAAACTGGCAGTAGACATGCTGAACATCATACAGTTGCATAATAGAAAATAAATGATACCGTGGAAATTGTGAACTACGTTCACATAAAAACAATCATTTTATTTAGGCCTTTAAAACAGAGTCCAGCCCTGAAGGACCCGTGCAGCAGTTGACGGATGGTTACGGACTGCTGCACGGCCACCAGATTACTGACAGACTTCTAGTGACACATGAAACCCACGAGGTTCATTCCTATCAAGAGCCTGCAGTGATTGTTTTTAAGAAATCCTGTAGATCATAATTTTACTGCTTAACTTGTCAGTGAACATAAGAAAGTAGAGAAAAGTAGCCAAATGGTGTTGCAATAATAATTGTAGTTACATAGCCCGTTTTAAGCTTAGGCACAAAGTGCTTTCAGATTCAAAGATTTACAGAATGAAGATTAAAAAAATAAAAAATCCTTGTAAAGCCCCTATTGCAAATGGCAAGTAAGATAAATAACAAAATAAATGAACTAGTGCTGGGCAAGTTAACGCGATAATAACGCGTTAACGCATTAATTCATTAATTAACACGTAAAGTGTCTTTATTCTTTGATCGCTGGGTCACCATCATCACCTCTGAGTTACAGCATTATATTGATGAACAGTAGATCTGCATTCACATGCTCTGACTGTTATGAAGACAGACGTTTTTGCTGAAACGTGCTGAAACATTTTATTCCTGTTGCACAGCAGTGGAACGTTTCACATAAAGTCAGCACACTGAGCACAGATAGTGAAGAGATATAACTGCTACTGTATAAAGGGAATACTGCTGTTAAAAATAACCTTATTTGTTTAAAGTGTTTGCAAACCAAATGTTATTGCACTTTTGTTCATATAGCAGTACTTTTTAAATAAAAGTGCGCAATACACTACTTTTGAATTCATTATTGAACTTTGCCATAACAATGCAATTAATCGCAAAAAATCCATGCGATTAATCGCGATTAAAAATGTTAATCGTTGCCCAGCACTAAAATTAACATGATGCTGTGGGTTGGGTTTCCTTCTGTCTTCAACGCTTTGAGTCACCAGCACCCACTGATGTACAGGTGGGAAACATAGAAAATCTCTAGGATTACAACTTTATCCAGAGAAACATGATGTTATTGAACTGTTCAAAGAGACATGAAACCATTCTGATTACATCTGTCTTTAACAGCAGCAGTTACCAAAACAGTAGCCCTATATTAGACTCATTGACATACTGCGTTCCCTAGCCCTAAAAACTAAATTAACCATCACAACTAAAAGCCGGACCCCAACCCTTACCCTAAACCTAAACCTCATTGTAACCTGAAACTTAAAACCAAGTCTGAACCCTCAAACAGGCCTTTGAATGTCTGAACAAAAGTGAGGGCCAGCAAAAATGTCCTCACGTTCCAAAAATGTCCTGCATCTGAAGGTCCAACACTCAAATTGGTCCACACAAAGATAGTTGTTGGAGTAGACACACACACACACACACACACACCTGTGTTAATGGAGCTGGGGTGTTTGTCCAAGTACATTGGCAGAGTCAGACCGAAGAACATCGAGAATCCCAGAACAAAAAGATTTCTTGACGAGTTCAAATCCACGAACTGCAGGTTAGAGAGACCGACGGCTGTGATCATACCTGAAACATCAACACACTTGGATTATTATTACCTCACAAACACACATGGATTAGTATGACCCCAGAAACACACCTGTAAAGGTAGTTGTTAACTCGTGTTACCTGTGAGTGTAACTCACCAAAAAGAGTGCAGAACATTCCTCCAAGGATAGGATCTGGCAGGGACGCGAACAGAGCCGTGAACTTCCCAACTGACCCCAATATTAACATGATACCAGCTCCGTACTGCACCACACGCCTGCTGCCAACCTGTAATCAGGGTCAGCGATTCAAACATGCACCCCATGAACTGAAGAGAACACTTTCTGTCTGCAGATGTCAGGTATGAGTCTAGGTGACATGATTTGAGAATCATATTTGTATTTTTCAGTTACACTAGATTAATTTAGCAGATGCAAAAACTTGAGTATGTCTCACAAAAAACAGCCAAATGTGTTTAACTTTTAGCCGGGAGTTTGGTTTTACTTGGAGGCAAGAAGGAACGGTTCTCTCACTGCCCTGTAGACCAGAACCAACAAGGAGCCAAGGTCTGAATAGATGTCTGGAACTAGTGGCCGACACCCTGACTACCAGTTACAAAGGTCTGACAACTAGCTACAGAGGTCTGGGGACTAGTTGCATAGGTTTGCGGACTACTTACAGAGGTCTGAGATTTAGCTTTGGTGGTCTGAGGACTAGTTGCAGAGGTCTGAGGACTAGTTGCAGAGGTGTGTGGATAACTTGCAAAGATCGAAGGACTAGTTGCAAGAGGTCATGGGATCCTGATCCTTTATGATCAGGGACATCAGAAAATTACCAACCAGTCTGTACTCAATCACTTCTCGTCCAGAACCAGTACATTTCTACCAAACAAACAAACCCCTCACAGGTGAGTGTGGCCTCAGTTACCTTGGTGATGCCCAGAACGCCTATATTTGGACTGGAGGAGGTGGAGCCGTTTCCTGTCCCTAAAAGACCAGCAATGATGCAGCAAACGCCTTCAGTGAAGATCCCCCTGAAACAAACAAAAACAATCAACCACCTGTGGGAGCGAAGACTTCCAGGGCCCCGTTCCTCGTACGTGACTAACAGAGTTAGCCGGATAATTTTCAGGATAAGATGACGTAGATCAGGCTTTTCGGTTCCACGAAGCAAGTTTGGCAAAATCACCATGGCAACACATCCATAAGCTTGAACCTGCTCCAGCGCAGGCTAACTGAAGGTAGCTGGATAAGCTTGCCACACCCCGGGAAAAAATGGCAGCTCCTGTCATATACGGTAGTCTAATGCGCTTGCGCATATATCAGGGGTCGTACGGGAGTTCCGGAAATGCATGTAAAGTGAGACACACGGTGATCCATTAAAACCAGCTGAGCAAACTAAGAAGCCTCTATTGCATTAATGTACAGCTCCCTTCCTCAGAGATCCACTGATGAAGGAGCGATATTAGTTAGATTAGCGTTTTATAGGGAGAGAGTTCTTCCACATCGCCAAGATCCGTTATCACATCACGATGACTTCCTATACGAGCGCTATCCATTCTGCCCACAAGGAATCATTTATTTACAAGACCTTCTGGAGCCATACATTGAACACCACACGCTGCAGCCGAGCATTGACTGTCTCACAGACTGGATGCAGCCTTGCGCTTTTTTGCGAGTGGTACATTTTTGTACAGTGTTGGCGATGCGGAGAACATGCATGCCGTGCTGTTTGTAAAGTTTATTTGGCGCTTAATAAACTTATGGATGTGTTCATTACATTACCATGGCACATATTGTATTGACTCACCATTCTGAGTAATGTGTTTGTGCTTAGTTTTTACTTGCTCCCATGTCCTCTTGATGGCTGTGTTGCATACATGGGGGTTAAAGCACTCATAATGATATGACAGTGTTATTAGTACACCAGCATATCATTATTGTAGAAAATGATTAAGGTGGACTCATGATAAGAATAGAGAGAATCACACACTATTTCTTTTCACTGCTTCAATTGATTGAATTTCTGATTATGAATAATACATACATACTGATCCGCCCATACTCAGATTCACGCACACATATTCAAACTCCTAGTTCTATATGGTAATCTACACGTATATACACATATATAGTACATGATACATAAGGGCATACAGTACATATATCCTCATATTAATTCGTATAAATTAGATACTCTTTGGGCTTGTTTTTATTACTTATTCTGAAAGAGTTGAGATAATTATTTGCGCTATATCTCATTGGATGATGCATTCCATTAAGCCTACTGCCAGCAGGCACATTTAAAGAAATATAATCTGATTGATTGGGGTGATGAGGCATTAAAATTAGCTGATACATTTCCCCAAAACTTACACATTTAACTTTATATTTTGCCATGCTTCTTGTCTAGCCCTCGCAGCGGTGGCGGTGTTAGATTTTGCCGTGATTATGGTTTTGAATTCCTCATATGCATTCATGATCATCTCCTGCTCGTCAGCGGAGTAAAAAGAGGCTCTTTCTTTGAGTTAATTTGCCATTGTACTGTTGGAAAATCATGGTTTCGGTGATCGACGCTTCCCCCTTTTGAAGTAGGACGGGCACGCGCAATTATCCTGATCGTCTGGTTCGAATTAAAGAGATTGTTTGACAGCGGATCAGCCTTGGAGAAACCGAGATAGCCTGAGATCAATCATCGGGTTAATTTAGGCTGGCTAATAGGACATTTGATCGACTTAGTTGAACCACGTACGAGGAACGGGGCCCAGGTAAGACAACATTACTTCCCGTTTACCTGTTAATGGCGTGGACTGGAGGGGGTGTGGCTCCAGACAGACGAGCACAGGCGTAATAATCACCAATCGATTCCACGATGCCCGCCATGGTGGCACTCAGCATCCCCAACACCCCGGCAACCGTTACCACTGGCAACCCCCACTGGCCTATCGGATCAGAGACAAGAAGTCAGTTTATTCTTAGATCAAGATGGCGCCGCGGATGGTAGCATCGGTACTGCACTCTCTCGTACTTTTTCTGTTTTAGTTTGTTTGTCCCGTTTCCAGCTCTCTCCCTCTGATCAAATTCAGTAGAGAGGAACTTTTAAACATCCGTCTATCCACTGGCCAACCTTTTCGCCGCATTTCATCAAACCGGAAAGTTTTTCAGAGATTTTAGTTGGGGGAGCAGCTGCTCTACTCGGAATTTATCAGAGATGCTGACGAGGGAAACGAGCAGGAGCGCTCGTTAATCTGCATCGACGGGGACTCAGAACTGCGCTCCCGTCAATTCACACAGCGAATGTCCGCTCTCTGGCCAACACGATGGATGAACTGCTGCTCCTCAACAAACTAAAAAAGGACTTTAGCAGATCCGCCGCCCTGTGCTTCACTGAAACCTGGCTCGGTGAGCACATCCCGTACAGCGCACTACATCTGCCGGGCTTCCAACTTCTCCGAGCGGACCGTGTAACGGCGCTGTCGGGAAAAACGAGGGGAGGCGAAATCTGCTTCTACATAACGAAGGTTGGTGTACAGATGCCACAGTGTCAAAGGAATCATGCAGCCCTCACTTAGAAACACTTTTCATAGACTGCAAACCTTTTTATTCACCACGGGAGTTTTCCTCATTCATTCTGGTCGGTGTTTACATCCCACCACAGGCCTGTGTGAGTGAGGCGCTCCAACACCTGGCTGAGCAGATCAACAACATGGAGCACAAACACCCAGACTCCCTGCTCATTGTTCTTGGGGACTTTAACAGAGCAAACCTCAGCGAAGAACTGCCAAAATACAGATAGCATATTAAGTGTAGCACCAGGGACTAAAACACACTGGACCACTGATACACTGTAATAAAGGCTGCATATTGCTCAGTACCCCGTGCAGCTTTGGGACTCTCTGATCATTGTCTGGTCCATCTTCTCCCGACCTACAGGCAGAAATTAAAATCGTCAAAGCCTGTGGTAAAGACTGAGGAGATGGACCAACGAGGCAAAGCTGGAGCTACAGTCCTGCTTTGCCTGCACTGATTGGAGTGTTTGAGGCTGCTGCTACAGACCTGGATGGGCTCACTGACACATCATACATCAGTTTTTGTGAGAACACGCATGTGCCGAAAAAAACCTTCTGCACATTCAACAACAATAAACCCTGGTTTACTGATAAACTCCGGCAGCTTCGTCGTGCCAAGGAGGAGGCCTACAGAAGTGGGGACAGGATCCTGTACAACCAGGACAGAAACACATTGACGAGGGAGATCAAGGTAGCTAAGGCCATGTCCATACTATTCTGTTTATGTTTGGAAACACATATGTTTTGCTACGTTTACACTGAGCGGCCACACTACGCCGGAGTTTTGGAGCACCCTAAACGGAGGAGTTTGAAAACACCCCCGAGATTGGAGGTGTTTGAAAACTCCGGGGTTGCGTTTGAGTGTGGACGGTCGGAAACTGATGTGTTTAGAAAAAATGACATTTTCATGCTCATATTTATCCCTCCTCTCTTGCCGTAGTTAGTGCCTGTTGTTTTTAGATTCTAATGAGAAGACACGCTGCACTAACAATTTACTTCTTCCGTTTGGTGGCCTTGAGAGACCTTAGTCTGTAAGTATTTCTTTATGAAGCATTTAGTATCTTTTAGTATAGCATTTGTGTTGTATTAAATGCTAATCGCGGTTAGCATTTCTCCATTGGCGGTAATGTTAAAATTAGCTTAGAAGCTAGCTAGTCGGACATGTTACATGATGGCTAAGCAAGAGCAGAATAGAGTGAGAGACGAGTGTTGACCACATTTATGGACCATAATCTAGTAAATGTTTACGTGTAAGTGTTCACTTTAAAGTAAATGTGATGTGAGAGAGAGAGAGAGAGAAAGACCCGCAGCGCTGTAACTAAGTCTGAAAAATAAAACTTCTAAAACGTTCCACGAACTGTGTCTGTTTGAGTTTATAGAGGAATATTTTAGAGGAAGATCTTAAGTATCAAACACAACCTTTCATTATTAAAGACTACTTTATTACTCTGTCGTATTTTTTTAAAACTCAGCAACCAATCTACTTCCTGTTTACACCGTCACGCGCATGCCCAGTGTACGTTAATGGTCACGTGCTGCCCGTCTTCGAAGGTTGCCGTGTGGATGCAGATCAATTCGAGAATGATGTTGGAACGGCCGTGTGGACGGAGATCGTTTCTATTTGACAAATCTGCTTCCAAATAGAAACGGAGTAATGTGGATGTAGCATAAGAGAAGCTACACTGAAAAGCTGGAGAAAAGGTTTTCAGCCAATGACCCCTCATCAGTTTGGAGAGGCCTGGAAGTACTAACCAACTACAGGAGACCATCCCACCCACTGAGGCCAATCACCAACTGGCTGACGACCTGAATGTTTTCTACTGCGGGTTTGATAAGCCCACTTTCACACACCCCACCTGCCCCATCATTAAACAACCACCTACACCCCCTGCCTCCTTCTCACCTCTTCCAACCGACCCCCCACCGGCACTGAGGATCTGCGAAGAGGATGTGAGTCGGCTCTTCCACAGACAGAGGATCAGGAAGGCACCAGGCCCAGACGGTGTGTCACCCTCGTGCCTGAAAGTCTGTGCTGACCAGCTGGCCCCCCCATCTTCACACAAATCTTCAACCGATCACTGGAGCTATGTGAAGTCCACTCCTGCTTCAAACGCTCCACGATCATCCTGGTTCCCAAAAAATCCTCCATCACAGGATTAAATGACTACAGGCCCATCGCCCTGACGTCGGTAGTCATGAAATCCTTTGAGAAACTGGTGTTGACCCATCTGAAGGACCTCACAGGGCCCCTGCTGGACCCCCTGCAGTTTGCCTACCGTGCAAACAGGTCGGTGGATGATGCAGTCAGCATGGGACTGCACTACATGCTGCAACACCTCGACTCCCCAGGGACATATGCAAGGGTTCTGTTTGTGGACTTCAGATCAGCGTTCAACACCATCATCCCAGCAATACTCCAACCCAAACTCTCCCAGCTCACTGTGCCAGCATCCACCTGTCAGTGGATCACAAACTTCCTGACTGACAGGACGCAGCAGGTGAGGCTGGGAAAAACCACATCCAGCACCCGGACTATCAGCACTGGCGCCCCCCAGGGATGTGTGCTCTCCCCACTGCTCTTCTCCCTCTACACCAACAACTGCACCTCAGAGGACCCGTCTGTTAAACTCCTGAAGTTCGCAGACGACGCAACAGTCATCGGCCTCATCAGGGACGGTGATGAGTCTGCGTACAGACGGGAGGTTGAACAGTGGGTCCTCTGGTGTGGTCAGAACAACCTGGAGCTAAACAAGCTCAAAACTGTGGAGATGACAGTGGACTTCAGGAGGAGCCCCCCCAACACTGCCCCCCCTCACCATACTCAACAGCACTGTGTCCGCTGTGGAGACATTCAAGTTTCTGGGATCCACAATCTCCCAGGACCTGAAGTGGGCTCCCAACATAAACACCATCAGGAAAAAGGCCAAGCAGAGGTTGTACTTCCTGCGCCAGCTCAAGAAGTTCAACCTGCCTCAGGAGCTGCTGATCCTGTTTTACTCAGCCATCATCCAGTCTGTTCTCTGCTCCTCGCTCACTGTGTGGTTTGGATTGTCCACCAAACAGGACAGAAACAGACTACAACAGATTGTCAGGTCTGCAGAGAGGATCATTGGTTCCAGCCTGCGGTCCATCCTGGACTTGTTCACCTCCAGAGTCAGGAAGCAGACTGGAAAGATCACTGCAGACCCATCACACCCTGGACACAAGCTGTTCCAACCCCTCCCCTCTGGTAGGCGCTACAGAGCTCTGTATGCCAAAACCACCAGACACAGGAACAGCTTCTTTGCACTGGCCGTCACTCTGATGAACAATAAATAAGTCATATTGCACTACTACCTCTGTTTGCACTATTACCACCACTTGCACTATCACCTCAATTCCATTGCTTATAAACCTATATACATACATACATACATACATACTGTACATACACACACGCTTTTTTTTTTGCATATATTGCTTATATTGTATATGGCTGTTAAATGTTTATATCTACATCTGTTCTACTTTTTTGCTGCCCTTTTCTTATTCTTTATATATTTTTTATTGTAAAATAGTGTATGTACATTGAGAGCAGAGTGGAAACCGTAGACAAATTCCATGTATGCATACACATACATGGCCAATAAAGCTGATTCTGATCCATGTTCATCGTCTGTGATGTCACAAGGTTGAACTAGCTTTGACCACTTTCTCATTGACGACTGTCCAAGTTTAAGATCCTCGTATTTAACAGATGTTAAAATGTGGGACCGAAAATACGAGGACTAAAACAACTTTGATAAGAAACAGTTGATCTTGTGATGTCAAACAATTCATTTTTAGTCCAGATATTCTGGCCAACTGTGAGCTGTGATTGGCCGATTTCAGCTTTCTTACAGGGGTAGGGTACTCTGAACCAGGGTGATGAAGCCATGATGTCACCACGAGCGTCTGTCCGGGCCTTGTGTCCGTAGGTATCAGGGTTGCTCGGCAACAGGTTGGTGAGCGTGAGAATGTAACAAACGAGCCAAACCAACATGATGGCGAGCATGATCTGAGAGAGACGTCAGAGTCAGAAAGTTAAAGAGAACCAACATCTGAAGGACTGACATGATCTGACACTTTATTTCTCATTTACAGGAAACATTTTGAAGATCTGGACTCTGGTGGAGGTCAGTCCTTGCTTCCTGCTGTAAACAGGAACAGGAAGTGAAGTCTCTCTCAGGTACTGAGCAAACAGCACGATGAGCAAAATACACCTGCAGAGACACAGAGAGAGGCAGTTAGAGAGAGAGAGAGAGAGACAGACAGCTGTCTACACTCTCAATGGAGGACAAGTAGAGGGCCACCAGCAGCCTGTTTTTAACCCCCTAACCCAGACCACGAGAGGTCCTCAGAGATGTGATTTCCCTTAAATCTGAAGGTTCAACCCTCTCCTCACAGACTCTGTAGATATGTAGTGGGACAGGCTCCGCTCGGTGCTTCCACAATTCAATAAGGTATTTTGTTTTTGTGGTGTTCAGCGGACTTGTCTCCTCCTGAGATCAGTCCAACCATAAAGGTGTCGTCCCCAACTTTGATGATGGTGTTGGTCGGACAGGTTTGAGGGCAGTCACAGGTGTATAGAGGATTAGGGTTAGACAGACAGGTGGACAGACCAGTATAACTGGTGGACAGACAGAGGTGGACAGACAGTTTACTGACCAGTATGTCTGGAAAGATTGTAGCGAATAATGAGCTCTCTATGACGAACATTCTCAATAATAGAAGAGCTACGGTGACAAATTCCATCCACTGATTCACTCTTTAAGTAAACTGATGGGAATCAAAGGTGGAACAGACAGACAGGTGGACAGACAGGTTTCTCACAGTGCTGACAGGCCCCAGTGAGACCCAGCTCTGTCTCCAGCTGTGGTGAAGACAGACAGGCCGATCAGTGAGACAGTTGGAGTGATGGTGAGTGGGCCGATGTACTCCAGCAGCAAACCTGGCAACCCACACAGACCAATCACAAGCTCTACAGCACTGGACACGATGATGGCCCCCTGGATCTGAAACACAGTGAAATAACTACAGATGAACAAACAAAAGAAGTCTTCACACCCACAGAAAGCAACTGTGCTCTGAAGAACTACAGCTGGACACTTTAAGTCGAATATTTAAAATACTAATCTGTCTGCTGGCAACTGGAGAATCCTGACCCTGAGATACTATGACGGTATTAGGACCTCAGACTGGGAGGTAAACTGTCCCAGTGCTCACTCGGGTTCCCAGTCAAATGAAAGCAAGAGAACCAATCCAGAGGTCTCCCTTACTGACCCTCTTCACACCTCGAATGCACCTTCAGATTCTGTTCATGAGTACATGTTGGACTTCCTGCTGAGAACAGTGTGATAGTGTGAAACCCTGATAGTCGGAGCAAAGCCTCAAGTCCGGTTCAGGAGTTCCTCAGTGTTCCTTCTCTGTGCCGCTCTGAGATAAGACCCAACTTTCCCATCATAAGGGTGGTTTGACCTCTTAGAAGCTGACTGACAGTCCTTCTCCATGACCTCCCTGAACTCCTCCCACAGAGCTTTTGCTTCAGTAACCACTAAAGCTACAGTCCATCTGACTTCCTGATACCGGTCTGCTGCTTCAAGGGTCACCTGGACCAATAAAACCCACTGCAGAATAATCATCATGTACCTCTCTGATGCGTGGCTGCCAGATGTGTGAGGTGTTGAGTGGAAGACTCCAGTTCCCATAAATCTCCTCTGCAGGTGAAATAAACAACAAATCCCTTTATTATTATCATGTTACTGTTGTTTCCTTACAATATGTCAGTATTTCAATCATCCAAACAGAGAGAATGTCTCACCCTCGCTGGGACACCGCCAACGGTCAAGACCGAGGATCGCTTGGGCAGGAATCAAGAAAGCAAATGCACTGGCCTGAAAGAGAGGAAGCCTACACACACACACACACACACACACGTCAGACTCATCTGACTCACCCACACTCACCCACACTCACCCACACTCACCTGACTCCTACGGTGGTCTGGATCAGAGTTGTGATACCAACTGTGGTGAAAATGGTTCCGACTAGCTGACTGATGGTGTTCTGGTCTCGACCGACACACATGGCCTCTGCCAGAAGAAACGGCACCGCTACAGTGCCGCTGAAACACGTCAGATAATGCTGAGGACAGATAAGGAAAGGTGACATCAGTATCAAACCTCCTTCAAGTCTCGCTGGCTTGTCTCTGAGCTTTGCTTCTGGTGCTTCCAGTTAAACTGTCAGAAACATGTTTTCTTTTTAACTGTGCAGCAAAGCTCCGGCTGCAGTGTCCTGATTTGAAATAAATGTCCAAATGAACCTCATCTCCTCTCCGTCCGTAGTGTCCCATCACAACAAAGCATTACATCTATTGTAGGAGCACTTTAATCTGTTCTGTAGAGATGCTGTGTTTTTGATTTAATGAATACATTTCAGGGAATTTGCCGATGAAGAAAACAGATTCAGTTTATTGGTTTGTGTAAACATACTTACTGCACATTACTGGTGTAATAAAGTGATTTAGTCAAACAATGTGTGTAGTTTGGAAGCTTTGGACCATCATCCTCAGCCCTCACTTTATTCTGGAAACCAAAGGGATAAAGTTCATAACAAACTAACTACAACAAAGAATGTTGGAATCACTCAGTGGAATCTGCTGGATGAGAAGAACCTCAAAATAAAACCACACCACTGTTATTAAAAAGGAGTAAAAATATCTAACCTGTGGATGAAGAAACGCTTCATCCACAGATCTTAAACCTTTGGTAAATATATCAACTCAGACAAATCCAAATCGAAACCCAAGTCTAAACCCATTATAGTCCCGACCTAACTGAATCAGACCAATATAAACCAGTCTGAACCCAATCTAAAACCTGTAATCCCAGTATATTCACAATGTTACCTGTAGTCCAAGTAGAATACACAGGTACCAGGGTGGGACATCTTCGATGGTGTAAATCATGTCTGACCTTGCCCCCTGCGCTCCTATTGGCTGTTTATTGTGTCCTTCACCTTCCATTGGCAGGTTAACCCTGTCTGCCTTGTGGCTCCGCCCCTTTGCTAGGTTATCATGACTCTGATTGGACAAACAGATGGATAGACACACCTGTTAATGTGGGAAATAATACATTTATAGAACACAAGCACAAGTTACAAAGTGCAGAATAGAGGTGTAACAATACAAAGGAGCACTTTTGGTTCCTACCTCGGTTTATGAGCAACAGTTTGGTTTATGAGGCACATTTTGGTTCCTATCTCGGTTTATGAGCCACGGTTTGGTTCCTATCTCGGTTTATGAGCCACAGTTTGGTTCCTACCACGGTTTGGTTCACGAGCCACGGTTTGGTTCCTACCTCGGTTTGGTTCCTACCTCGGTTCATGAGCCACGGTTTGGTTCACGAGCCACGGTTTGGTTCCTACCTCGGTTCACGAGCCACGGTTTGGTTCCTACCTCGGTTCACGAGCCACGGTTTGGTTCCTACCCTGGTTCACGAGCCACGGTTTGGTTCCTACCTCGGTTCACGAGCCACGGTTGGGTTCCTACCTCGGTTCACGAGCAACGGTTGGGTTCCTACCTCGGTTTAGTTCATGATCCACGTTTTAGTTCCTATCTCATGATCAATAAGTTACTAATCAGAACACAATCATTAACTTATTCATCACAACACGATCAATAACCAACCAATCAGAATAAGAGACTGGAACATGGAGCGGTTTAATTATTACGTCATAATGGACAGAAGTGACATCATCAACACTAGAATAGATTCACTGCTCTCATAAACCGACCAGCTCGTGTTAGTTAACCAGACTGGTTAACTGGTTAGGTTTAACACCAACACTATTCTGGAATAATATTCTGTGGAGTTTCTTCAAGTAATTTGTTTGAAAATGTATCTTTATAAAGAAAAGTCTCTGAGTCATGAACTCAAAACTAAAATCAGATTATGAACTTCATTTAAACTCTAAATAAACTTTAAATGAATGAACAGTAAAATCTGAAACATCCAGAAGGTACACACACGCACACTTTCATGTACTGTTCTGACTCGTTATTCTCAGTAAATCTTTTTATTTAAATGTCATTGCATCACATTTAAATATTCGTCATGTCTTCATCAAAACACATTTCCCCAAAACTCAGTTCGACACAAATTGCATGTTCGTAAATAGAATTTAAATAAAGCTTTATGAGTTTGAACAAAGTGAGTGAAACTTTTAATCTAATGAACAAAATCACCTGTTCATGACCAACAATGATTGGCAGCAGACAGTTAGACAATAATAAATCAATAACCAATAATCAGTTTACCTTTGAGGCGTCTTCCATCTCAGCCGATCGACCACCGAACAACAAAGGGAGAGCGAGACAGGTAGACGAGAGAGACAAGTGGACCGAGAGAGCTTCAGGTGAAAGTCCATCAACATTAACTACAATTATTAACCTGCTCAGGTGACTTACTCTCTCCATCAGTTATTATTGGTTATTGATTATCACTCAGGTCCAAACTTCTGTTATCACACAGTCACTTCCTGTTCACTGAAGAAATGAACACCAGTAGAGTCTCATTAACTAATCAATCAGCTGATATCAGATTCACCTGGAGCCTCCTCACACACACACACACACACGACTCTACTTCTCACTTGATTTATTACCTCAGTAAACATTGTAAACATGAGTTTATGGCCTCAGTCTATAGTTTCAAGTCTTCTTCATCTTCAATACAGCATGATGTTCATTTAGTAAATTATGGTCCATTTAGAGTCAAACACACCATAAAGCACAGTATGATTTAGAGGCGGGGCTACACGGTGATTGACAGGTCGACACCACAACGTTGTTCATGTTTTCATCTTTAATCCTTTCAAAGTCTTTTCACTTCATCAGTTATTTGTAACATTTTGGTCCAATTTAGCATTCTGAGTGCTAATTTAGCACTCTGGTGTCACTCTTAGCTCCGCCCTATGCCTTCAAAACCTCTACAAAACAATGGGTGACATCAGACTTTGTGCTAAGCTAGGCTAACACGATGTCGCACTCTTCTGTTTGTAAAACAGCTGTGACTCCGTTCTGATTGATCAACGACTCATTGATTAATGATCTGATTGCTGATTGGACGACACAAAATAAAACATGACGTTGATCTACATTTAGTATCCATGGAAACACTCTTTACAAATATAAATTCTTTACTTAAATTAATATTGATTAATTATTTATGTCCAAGTGATTGATCTTCAGCCTTTCAGTCAATCACAGCACAGGATTCTCAGCGTCAGCAGCTCTTCAGAGTCCTGCAGAGAGAGAGAGAGACAGGCGTCACTGGTGATGTCATCAGAGAGCAAGAGAGACAGGTGTCTGATGCTTTTCCCTAAAACGTTGTAGTGTGAAAAATGAAATCCAGCGATTGTTGTTTTGAGATTCAGCTCAAACATAATCAGGATCTCAGGACTTAGCCAGTACCTCATTATACATAGATTTCAGTATTTATCCAGGATCTGACTGTACATTTCACTATGTATCCAGTCACTGACTGTATTTATCCAGTCACTGACTGTATATTTTCCCGCTCTGGTTATCAGAGATGTTTTTACATAAAATCTGCATCGTATAAATGTCTGATTTAGTCTCCACTGAATTGAATCAACGGTTTCTATTGAAAGTAGAATAAAACCCCGTTGCAGATGTTGAGTAAAAACATCTGGAGACCCGTTTACCAAACATCTGTTTGCAGGTGAGAGGCACCGCTGTGACTCCTACCGTAAAACCACCACAGAAGAAGAATGAGAGTTCAAATGACGACGATTCAAAGAGAAGTTTGACGTTTTTTTTAATAGATTTAAAACATCAGAAAAAAAAACAAACAAACATACAGAAGTCAATTAGATGGATTCTATTGTTTATGATTCTATTGTTGTTTCCGTTATTTTGTCCCAAAAGTTTCTCCTTCAGGATCTCTGATCTGCAAACAGACGGTAAAAAGAGTCTGACAGCCGGAAGAGAGGGAAAATCCACCCTCATCATCATCATCATCATCATCATCATCATCATCATCACCATCATCGTCGTGAGAGCAGAGCAGCCTTCCTTCCTGTCTAACAGTCTGTCTATGTGTGTGTCCTGTCTGTCTGTCTCATGTTGATAAACTGAGTCCAGAGTCTCAAACAGATAGAGTCTGATCCAACATGAACATGTCACATGATCCCATACAGGACCACGGAGACCTGATGTCCTGGACTATGACGGTCTGGACCCTGTTTGAGACCCCTGGCCTCAGTTCGAACAACACTTTGTGTTTCACAGTTTTCATCTTTGTGAACTGAGGAATGTTTTCAGTCTCAGCAGAACCCGGAGAACCCACTAGAACCATCACGCCTCATTTAGTGTTTGTTTGTAGCTGACAGCCAATCAGAGGGCTGGATCTGACGTTAACCACAATGCACCAGGATAGTGTCTCTGATGACATCACTATGACATCATCAGGTGAAGATGCGTTCACACTAGCGTTCAAACGACATCTAGTGTGAACAGAGCCTGAAACTGAGGACCTCTGTGAAGACAGGGGGAGGTCACCACAATTACAAGCCCTGCCCACTGAACACTGACAGGTAAATGAGAAGCCCCGCCCCCTCCTCTCAGAACAGGAAACAGAAACATTAGTCAGTCTCTGACAGACAAGCTCATCCCAGAGGGGCGGGGCTTGTGTTTAGCAGGGGGGGGGGGGGGGGGGGGGGAGGTCCGTGTGTCGTCACAGTGGTCCTTAATTGTGGT